GGCTCCAGGCTCTGAGCCATCAGCCCAGAGCCGGACGCGGGGCTCGAACTCACGGAGCGCGAGATCGTGACCTGGCTGAAGTCGGACGCTTAACCGACTGCGCCACCCAGGCGCCCCTATTTTTAACTTTTTGAGGAACCTCCATACTCTTCCCCAGAGCGGCTGCACCAGTTTGCATTCCCACCAACAGTGCAAGAGGCATCAAGAGGCAACATTTCTAAACTCTAAGCTATGTTTCTAGGTTTACATCTATCAAGTCATTACTGCTGGGATTTAGTTACAATTTTTTTTAACTTTTATTTATTTTTGAGAGAGACAGAGCACGAGCAGGGAGGGGAAGAGAGAGGCACAGAATCCAAAGCAGGCTCCAGGCTCTGAGCCGTCAGCACAGAGCCTGATGTGGGGCTTGAACCCACAAACTGTGAGATCATGACCTGAGCTGAACTTGGATGCTTAACCAACTAAGCCACCCAGGCATCTCTCCATGTTACTTTTATACCCATTACATTTCTTTCTCCTCTTACTCTTTTGGTAGATGGCTGAGGGGGCATTAACTTATGTTCCATGCTGAAATTATAAATGTATTTGCCAATTAAATTTATTTCAAAACTTGAGATCATTTATAAGAAGATATGTTCAATTAAAAAAAATTGTAGAGTCAGAAGATGCAGACCACACTGTTTTGTTTATTATTCGTCATTCTGGGCTTGTCACAAGACTTCTATGATACGCAATTTGCAGCCACATAAAAAGAGTAATAATGTCCACTCAAGGCCTTAAGGATCGCTAAGACGTAATATACAAAAATGTGTTGTATATTGTATATTGAAGTATATTGTATTGCAGATTGTTTGTGTACAACAAAGCACAATACAAAACTCTTATAATTATTTTCACTCATATTAGCCTCATATACAAGTAATAGTAATGATGATTTTAATCTCAGTCTAAAATTAAGAAAAGTAGCTGCCTTTGGACATTGATAACTTCCCTTCAGGGAGAATTGTTTTTGTTTTGACTTTGTGTTTCTGAGCAATTATCAATACAAATTGCTTAGGAGAGACTCAGTATCCCCAGGTGTTACACCATTGCTCTTAGGGGAAAACTACTTAGTTATCATTCATAGCACAGCTGTGTCTCCTTGCTGGGTTCTTTTTCACAGGAGGACATGAACGTGCCTCATTAATCGGGCCAGTGAATGAGGTGGTGAGAGGCAGCACAGCCTCCTTCCGCCAGCACAAAAGTCACGGTGATAATTGGGCAAAAGTGGAGATAGTCTAGGGATATATCTGCTCTATTTAGTTATAAAGAAGAATATTCATCTTGTACTTCAGAAAAAGAAAGTTTCTCTTCTAAGTTTTTCTTGCCTGAATTACCAACACTGAAAAGTTTACTCAACTGAATTAGGGTAAGTGGGCGAGAAATTAGGTTGTCTTGGGTAGTATTACTAGAAGTTCCTCAACATCAAAATAATTTGCATATAACCTTTCAGTTCTAGTTTTCTCTACCATGTAGGACATCTAATAATCTCTAGGTCACTATCTGTTAAGTGGAAATGGTTTTACCTCTCTACTCCTGTGTCTGTACCCCACCTTCTATGTTAACAAGATGTATTAAGAGCCTACTAGGTGCACTCTAGGGATCATACATCTAATAAACTAAGCGTGTGCCACAGTGAAAGGGGCAGTGGATTTGTTGGAGAGTGAAAATGAAGATCTCAGTTAGAACCATGATGCGTGACATTAGCTGTACATTTGCTCCTGGTGATGACGTGAACCTGTGTATGGCTGTGGAATCTGCTGCTGGGGGGAGCTGGGCAAGCAGAGACCCACGGCCGATCATCAGTCCCCAGTGAGAAAGTGAAACCTCAGGAGTGAAGATCCATGAAACAGGAGAGAAGCAGAAGATGGTGTGAACACAGGTGGAGGGAAGGAGAAATGGATGAGAAGACGAAGTCAAGGGAAGAGGTAAAGAGAGTGATAAAGTGATAATGGTAAGAAAAGGGGTTGTCCTATCTTGGAGGAGAGTAGAGTTATTGTAGAAGTTAAGTTTTGGTTACTGTTTTTGTAGGGCAAAGGTAAACCCAAGTGGCTAAGATAATTGAGAAAAGACACTGGTTTTAGAAATTAGGGCCACTTTGGTGGGTGCCTGGGTGGCTCAGTCAATTAAGTTTCAGACTTTGGCTTAGGTCATGATCTCCCAGTTCGTGGGTTTGAGCCCATGTCAGGCTCTGTGCTGACAGCTCAAAGCCTGGAGCTTGATTTGGATTCTGTGTCCCCCTCTCTCTCTGCTGCTCCCCGGCTTCTGCTCTGTTTCACTCTCTCAAAAATAAAGAAACATTAAACAAAATTAGGGCCGCTTTGTCTTTAAGATGATATTTTTAACATATGGTATATGAGAGAAGCCAGATTGCTTTTTTGAAAGTTTGTGCTTGTAATTTTAAGAAGAAACTTCTCTTTCAGAGTTTAATAAAGGCAAAGGGTGAGGAACACAGATTTACTGTTACTATGGCTTTTATGTATTGCCAGTCTCTGTGCCTAAACCTGGGGTTAGTCACTGAGAATACAGCTATGAAATAACACAGCTTCATGTGGCTCAAAATTCTGACTGGAAGTGTGCCAGGAGTGAGTCATTGTATGGACGAAAGCCAAAGTATAAGTGAGTGGTAGAAAACCTGTATAAAATCAAGAAAGACATAAAAGTATGAATAACCAGACTTTAGGAGACTGTAAATAATGGAATCAATAGTACAGGAGGTCAAATAATTTTTATAATAAAATAAATCAATTTCTGGATCTGAGAAAAAATAAGTGGTAGAAGATAGGTGGCAATACAGAGAAATTTGAATCAAAGGGATAAATTTGACTCTTACAAGGAAATGGCAGAATTTGAGAATAAAAATCTGGAAGGACAGAGTGGGATTCAGGCTCACACCAGCCGCAGGTTAGACCAATGGTTCTCCACTCGGGAAACTTACCCCATATGGGACTTTGGGCAGTGCCTGGGCACTTTTTTTTTTTTCATTTCAAGCATTTATAATTTAAAATTCTCATGTCAGACTCCATAAGAATTGTGACATACTAAAGGCATAACCAATATCATAAATGTTTAGTTATTATATGACCACTTAGAATTAATGCTAGGATAAATACAATTCTCAAACAAGACCCACAGTCGAATACTTGGAGGGCTCTGTCAATGATTATGAATTTTTTCCAATAGTATTAGAGAGATCTCTGTACAGAATGTATTCTATGTATTTTTCTTGTGATGAGAACTTTAAAGATCTACTCTCTCAGCAACTTTCAAGTGTACAGTGTAGCATTATGGACTATAGTCACCATGCTTATCTCTCTAGGACTGACTTATTCCATTGCGTCTATACACCAGTGTCTTTATCCATTCCTCCATCAATGGACACTTAGTTTGCTTCTATGACTTGACTATTGTGAATAGTGCTGCAGTGAATGAGTGAGCATTTTCATTTACTTTGGATAAATACACAAAAGTGGAATTGCTGGATCGTATGGTTGTTGTTTTCTTTTTTAATTTTTTGAGG